CTAAAGAGGAGGTAGGTTCCGTCTATGAAAAAAAAAATTGGTAAACAAGATCTAAATTGTCACCTTTCTAGTCACAATACCACCGTTGGCTATTTTTCTTGAGACTTTCTATGATTTCCATATTCAGAGGAAAAATTGTCGGCAAGCCCTAATACGAGGTAGAAATGTGATAGAAACATCCGTACCTGCCCTAGTGCATGAAGAAACCATGCGATTTCGACGCAGATTCTCTCAAAGAATGCGAGAAATGTTTACTGCACAGGTCTGTACATAAAAAAACATAAGCAAAAATGCACTTAAACATGTTTTGTAGGTCTCTCCAGCTGAGTCACTAACCTTTGCCAAATACGTGAAGTTCGTTGGTGATGGACCCGGCTCAACATTACCGCCTTGTCCTGAGCCAAATGGCACAATGTTCACAACAATGACGCCAACTACAACAACCACCACAACCGCGACCTCCCATGTCACTAGCTGTTCTTCATCCGCTGTTCCCAGCACTACTACAAAGGCACAAACCCCGTTGCCATCGTCATCAGGGACTGGTACAAGTGCGAACACCGGGAGAACGACTCAAAATTCAGCGAGTACGTCGACTGGGACAACTGGCACAAATTCTCCGGGAACCTCCGCAACCACGCCATCTCTGTCGACAGGTACTGCTAAAGCGATCATACTGAATCAAGAGATTCCAGCAGAACAAGATGTCGTAAGCTCAACGAGTACTTCTGGAGGTGCTGCCACGGCGACAACATCATCGGGTGCAAGTTCTACTGCAACTTCATCGAGCACGCCTGGCTCAACAACATCTGGAAGTACCACGACGACTTTTCAAACAACGCCGTCGGCGGAAGGAAGCAGCACTGTGACATCAAATGCTTGTGTTGTTCAAGAGCTTACTGGAGGTAATATATCTTCATTTCGTAATCGCATATGAAAAATGTTCAATTAGCATAGGTCTTATATGTAGACACGTAAACTAGAAGAATTTATATTTGAATCCTATACTTCAAAGCTTGGAACTGGGACTACAGTATGCCTCATAGGGAGTAGTTATCTTTTTCCTATTTTCATTAGAGTTGTTTTGAATATCAGTAGTTGTGAACGTAGAGAAAGCGTGGCCTACTCAACACCCGCATAATACAATGTAGACTAGGCTAATATGATTAGAGCGTGAAATGTGCCATGATTATAATCATTAAGTCCTTGATTTAAATTCTCAGTAGAATCTGTACCGATTCAAAAAATGTGCGACATCATGTTCTGCTACTTGATCAAGCTCCACTGCCTTTTTTTCCAGAATCGAAGAAGACACGATTCAGAATGCCCACCGTTTACAGTACTCTACCCGAGGATGATCCATTTTACAACTGGATGAGCTCTATCTATGTAAGAAATTACTGTCGATTTTTAATCAACGACACAAATCGATATATTGATTTGTCCTAGGAGTATATGAGCAAGGAGAAGGAGATTTGTGACCAGCCAGCAATCAAAGATTTGAATTCAATTACGGAAGATCAACTGTATGGATTTCTCGCTACTCTTTCAGCAGTACATCCAGGTTACATCTTTATGTGATCGGATATTGAGTTCCTAGACGACCCTCAATGTTAGCGTGCAACCTTTTATTTTAGGCCCGTTCTGTTCTTTATGCGATCGTTTCATGAACGAAGTTCGAGAACGAGTGTTTATGATCAATCCTATGTGGGGAGTGAGTTGTGCCTTTTTGGCAAAAAAAATTTATTGCGAATGGTGAGCGGTGATTCCGTGACCT